GGCAGGGTACTCCGAGACACTGACCCAGCCTCACAAAACATGGAGGACCCCTCACAGCTCCTGTGTCTTACCTGTGGCATCTGTCCTGTCTAGACTTATCAGATCTCAGGGCATGGACCCTTGTCTCCATTCTTTGAGTCGAAGGGGAGGAATCTCAGGATGAGAGTGCAGTCTTGAAAAGTGTCTGTATATGTACTTCTCTCATTTTTTAAGACCTCGTGCTTCGTATTTGAATGGCACCCTCTGGGCAACTGCGCTCAAGGCTTTGTTTATTAAAGACATCACCAGGATCCATCTCTGGGATATCATTGGAGAAGGTTCTTAGATCCTAGTTTTTGGCCCTTGCCTCTCAGGGCCTGGAAAGAGTCCAGACCTGGCAACCCTGATCCTGTCTTACTTTTGGGCAAAGCCCACATTTCTTCTTGAGGCCATGAATCTCACCCAGCAGAGCTTGGAGACATGACATTTTTGGACCCCCTAGCAACAATGCCATTGGCATCTGGGATTTGTAGTCTGTTGTGGCAAGCTCTGGTGCCACAACCAACTACAATTCCCAGAATTTTGTAGCATTGAGCCATGATAGTTCGAGTGGTGTCAAACTGGATTATTTCTGCAGTGCGGATGCACCCTTTGTGGCCATTGCAGTGTGTGTAGTGACATGGGACAGGGCAAACACTTTAAAAAGTTTGGTGTTTCAGCCTTCTGCTCTGATACCTTTCATTGCTACTGATAAGCACTTGAACATACTAGAAATCACTGCTGCCAAAATGCCCAGCCCTTACATTTTACCCATCAATCTGGTATTTTTATACATATTTTATACTTTCATCTCACCCAGTGACCCACCCCACAATCAATCAATCAGAGGACTGACTGGGGATTCTGGGACTAGTAGTGCACAATACTACTTTTCCATGGCTCCTGCCTGTCCCAGCCTCCGTCAGTCCTCTGAGTGACCCTGAGGCTGCTGCCACACTGAAGAATTAATGAAGTTTGACACCACTTTTAACTCTCGTGGCTCTATTCTATGGAATCCTGGGATTTGTAGTTTGTTGTGGCACCAGAGCTCTCTCACAAAGCTAAATATCTAACAAAACTACAAAATCCCAAAATTCCACAGCATTGAGCCATGGCAGTTAGGGCTGAGGGTGCATCTGCACTGTAGAAATAATTCAGTTTGACACCATTTTAATTGCCAGCACTCCATTCTTGCAGAACCCTGGGATTTACAGTTTTTGTAAGGCACCAGCACTCTTTGGCAGAGAAAGCTGAAGGTCTAGTAGAACTACAGATCCTGGGGTTCTCTAAGATAGGGTTGAAGCACTTGAAAGTGGTATCAAACTGCATTATTTCTGTAGTGAAGATGCACCCTGAGGGTATGCAAGGAATGAGCCTTCAGTCCTAGCATGTTTCTTTTATTTACAAAGCAATCTTTCACTAATCTTTTTCTTTTTCAGAAGTAAAGCCCATCGAATTCTTTAGGACCTCCTTTCTAGTAAACGAGGATCGCAGCCTTAAAGCTTTACACTATTCCTTTTTTTCATTTCTTATACACTAGAAAGGAACCGGAAGTTAGCTATTCCCGAAGCTCCATTTTAAACTCTTTGCGCGAATGGTGTGAGAATGCGCATGCGCAAATTCCCCTCACGAACTCTATGGTTCTCGGCCAAGAACGTTGTCAATCACGTGATCTTCCCATCAGCTGTCGGAGCATCTTTCTTATCGTCGCCGCCCGCACAGAATTCAGGCCATGCCAATAGGACGACGATAGAGACCCACGGGGGGGGGGGGGGGGGGGTCTCTTTGACTGCATCCGCACTGCAGAAATAATCCAGTTTGACACCACTTGAACTACAATGGCTCAGTGCTATAGAGTTCTGAGAATTGTAGTCTGTTGTGGCACCCTCAGAACAAGCTCTGGCTCCACAGCCAACTACATTTCCCAGAATTCCATAGCACTGAGCCATGGCAGCTCAAGTGGTGGCAAACTGGATTATTTCTGCAGTGCGGATGGAGCCTTTGTGGCCATTGCAGAGTGTGTAGTGACATGGACAGAACACACAGTAAACATTTTGAAGCTTCAGCCTTCTGCCCTGATACCTTTCCTTGCTAATGATAAGCATTTGGAACATACTACAAGTCACTGCTGCCAAAAGGCCCAGCCCTTACATTTTACCCATCAATCGTATTTTAAAATATATTTTATACTTCCATCTCATCCAGTGACTCACCCCACAATCAATCAGTCAATCACTGTTTTCCCTTTCTGTCATCAGGGCTCAACATCATACCTTCCAAAAGTAAAACATTGCTTTACCATCCCTCTTCAGAAAGAACATTACTTGGAGTTGCGATTCCCAAATGCTAAATCCATTTGTTGTTGTTGTGCGCCTTCAAGTCATTTCTGACTTATGGCAACCCTATCATAGTGTTTTCTTGGCAAGGTTTGTGCAGAGGTGGTTTGCCATGGCCTTCACCTGAGGCTGAGAGAGTGTGACTTGCCTAGGGTCACCCAGTAGGTTTCACGGCCAAGCTGGGAATCAAACCCCGGTCTACAGAGTCGCAGTCCAACACTCAAACCACTACGCCATGCTTAAACCTGTAGAGACACATAAATAGTGAACAAATTAAACGCACAAGGTCTGTCTCCGATATTTATTTTCCCTCCAGAGATGATGATGATGATGATGATAACAGGGCTCTCTTTTATAAGTTATACACTAAACCAGGAGACAAAGCATGTGGAGCAATACTTTTAAAACTATACATGTCTTCTTAAATGTTTTATGATTTTCGAAAATGGAAAAAAAGTATGTTTAAACATCTTTCTTTGCCACATCAAAATACACAACCCTATTTCTCTCTCTCTCTCTCTTTTTTTTTTATTGGGGTTCTTTTCTCTGTGTCCCTTTCTTAGAGCTGGGCTTTAAAAAGATGGTTTCCTAGCAGCAGAATGCAGAAGGCCCATTCATATTACAATGGGCAGAGAGGAAAGAAAGAGAGCCTGGTTTGTTTAAACTGCTTCTGTCTTCATTCACAGCCCTGATATCCATGGGCATTGTGCCGGCTACAATGGAACTAAAGGATGTATTGTGGCCAGGAGGGCTGGGGAGGATCAAAATAGAAAAAGTGATGATCAGAGAAAAGAGTCCTGCAACAAAATTGTCCCCCAAAATCGAAGTCTTGCATGCATCTGAGATTTATGTTACCTTTTGGCTGCTTGGCCTATTGACCAGTGTTTCTAATAACCACTAGAGTTTAATAAACAAAGCCTGGCATGGGAACTTTCCTGAAGGTTTGCAAAAGGCAGAAAAGGTGTAGTCAGGGCAGTGTTTTGTTCTTTCCTCCTATTGTCCTGACCTTGCAGAAGTTTTGTATAGAAGGATATCAGAGGGTGGCTTCTGATGGCGGTTTGCCTTTGCAGTAGGTCACATATAAGACGAGGTGGTGTTGTTTTTTCCAGTGCAGTGTTTGAGCCATAAAATGCCCTTTTCTCTTTCACACACACACATAGACAGACACATTCCCTCCTAACTTTGAATGATGAGCTTCTCTCTGAAGTTCTGATGATCACATAACCTATTTCATTCTAATAGGCAACAGGTGGAAGCTTGAATAACTCCACATAATTTCTGGGTGGAGGGGAAGGAGAGAAGAGGGATGGGGGCACCATGGGGAGCCAATTGGAGGATTAGATCAGATGTTATTGCCAGTGGAAAAATTAAACAGAGCAGTGCTCTGGGGAACACAGATTAATATATTTAGTGACTTTTCATACACAAAGGCTTACCATTGTAGCCACGTCTGAATGCCTGTGAATAGGATGGAACATATGCAGCCTGTCACCACAGGTGCCCACATCTGTTCTTCTCCAGGCAGATGCTCACAGGAGGAGGAAAAAAAAAAAGCTGGGAGGAAACCTGCTCCCAGAAAAAGAAGAAAACCCAGGGAAGAACAGAACAGAAAACTCCTGCTTCATAAATCACTTTTTGCAAAGGGCTTGCTTTAAATCAAAATCAAAGCAAACATATGAAAAAGTGTTTAAAAGGGGAAAGAATATTATGTGAGGCTGGAAGGAACTAGAGGAGAGACGGCAGCAAAATAGATGTTTTCTAACTGCAGCACATAAGCAGTAAACGTGACTTTTCCTAACACTGCAACTCCTAACTGGGTATACTTACTTTGGAAATAGTTTGGCTGGATTCTGTGAGACTTAAGTTTCAAGTTTAGGATTGGGAAGTTTAGAATTGCAAACTAGATCCAAAATATGAAAAGAAGGACTGATAAATGTAGTCCAGTATACCACTATATGATCCCATATGATAAGGTGATTGTTAACTGTAGTAACACAGCATCCTTTTAAAGAAAATTCTTAATTGCTTTTTGGGATGCCTTCTGATACTATAAAGTGGTAGTGAAAGTGGACAAAATAAAATTTCTTTATCAGGTAGCTAAAACTACACTGTTTTATATGTAAAACAGGGCTAGTTTTTGGGCTGTTTTAATTATGTGCAATTCAAACCTTTTTAAAAGAATAGTTTAAAGAATGGCTTTATCTGCTGTGCAACACTTCAGGGCTCTGGCAGATTGAGATGTGATAAATAAATATTTTAATAAGTAAATTAGATATTAGATATTGAAGTGGTGAGATGTTTTTGTTAACAATGAGATGTGATAAATAAATATTTTAGTAAGTAAATTAGATATTAGATATTGAAGTGGTGAGATTTTTTTTGTTAACAATGAAGATTCACATTAAAACACAGAAATATTTTAAAAAGCATATAGCCTCCTCTCACCTATCTGGTTGGTTATCACAATATGGTTCCAAGGTGCAAGTCCTAACACAGATGCATAAGGTTCAGTGACCTTTATTCATCTTTGAAGAAAATATTCCCTGCATATGCTCAGAGAAGGTTTAACATCATCTTACTTCACATTTTCATAACAAGTTCTATAGCCAAGTTCTTCTCTGCTGTAGCATCCCAGTTATGGACTACTTTCCCCTTTAAGCGCATGTTGACATCAGCATTGCTTTCATATCCTGTTCCATGAGAAGACCTTATTGCTCACTAAAGCCTTTGGGGCTAATTAATTTTACACAAATCTTCACATGTACATGAAATGATTTTAAACTATTTTTAACAAGATTTGATCTACCCTTTTATAACTTGTTAAATTGTACAGTGTGTTTTTAACCTTTTAAAACCATTCATATTGTTTACACTATTTGTAGTTAGTCATGTTAGTTTTATTGTATGCTGCCTTGAGATCTCAGGATATAAGTATTTTAATTATGAAATAAAATATATAAATCAAAGGTCCAAGGACACTTATTTGAGAGGAGCCTCCTTTGAATTCAGTGACATTTCCTAATGAACTGGGCTAGGACTGAAATATATTATTATGTATACTTGAAATATTTATAGTCCAGCTATAAAATGACATTCTCAAAGCAAGTTACAGTATTTATCCCATGAATAAAAAGTGGTGTGATTTTGCCACTTTATTTACAGGATAATGGCATGATAATGGCGACGTCATGTGACGTCGCCTGAAAATCATCCCATTATTGCACAATATATTGACGGGATTTAATGGTGATTTGATGACAGGAGGAGGACACTTGCCTCCCATGTGAAAAAGTCCTAAGATAAATGAAAGAGATAATCAGAAAGTTAATCCCTTACTCAATAGTGCTTCCTCCCTTAGGCTACAGCAGAGAGTTGTCAGAGAGAAAGCATAACTTGCTTTACTGTATTGCACCTGTACACTGCCGATTGATTCTCAATGTATTTCCTTGGAAGCTGAAGAGGAGGTTTTTCTGTGCATAATGCCTCAGAAGGAAGCCCTGTTGGAGACTTGAACAACCTCACATTTATGAATCAACAAGCATAGGATGGAGCTGCAGAACCCACGGACTTTAATCAGTGTTACACCTCCATATTTGTAGATTTAATGGTCTTACTGTGTCCTCACCCTTTTAGATCGTAATATCTATTTTTACTTCCATCCAATGGTTTCATAGGAGGGCTCTTCCTTATTGTATATTATGCTACACTGGAGTGGCTTCATGAGTAGGAAAAAAGAGCTCCTCTACTTTCAAGCCAGTATCTTGCATGACAGGCTGTGTATGTGCCTTCAAGTCTCCTGTCAACCTATGGCAACTCCATTCATTTCATAGAGTTTTATTAGGCAAGGAATAGTCAGAGGTGGTTTGCCATTGTTTTCCTCTGAAATATAACCTAAAGTACCTGATATTCCTTGGAGGTCTCCCACCCCAGTCATAACCAGGGATGACTCTGCTTAGCTTTCAAGATCAGATGGGATTTGGTGCTCCCAGGGTATTTAGGCCAAATTCTTTCTTCCTCACAGCTATTAAAGGGGAAAGAGCCCTATCTTTTTTCTCAGGTGATCACCCTTTTTCAAAATATAGCTGATGAACCTTGTTATGTTTAGATGTTCTGGCGTCCACTTATATTATTATTATTATTATTATTATTATTATTAAACTTTATTTCTAGAGCGCTGTAATTATACACAGCGCTGTACAAAGTAAAAAAGTTACAAATATAAAATATAAAAAAGCCTGCCCACGGCATACACTCTAAGAAATAAAATAAAATAAATAGATAAACAAATTACCATATAGAGGAAAGAAAATTAAAAGATCAAGTATCAAGCAAATCACAACTGCTGTAGGAAGCCCTGGTGGTGTAGTAGTTAAATGCTGGTCCTGAAGCCACAACGTTGTAAATTCGATCCTGGAGGGCTCCAAGGTCGACTCAGCTTTCCATCCTTTCGCAGGTTGGTCAATGAGTGCCCAGCTTGCTGGGGGCAATTGACTTACACACTGTAAACCGTAGGGAGTGCTAGTTCACTGATAAGCAGTATAAAAATGTATTTGCTATTGCTATTGCCTCCACCAAATGCTGGAAGTGATGATGATAGCAATAGCAGATGAGGCAGTAGTGCAGCCTCCACTGAGTGCCAGAAAACCTATCAGACACACATAGTCTGAACCAGGGAGAGACTTCACCTACTTTTTGTGGCTGTAGTGCCCCTCTACTTGAAAAATAAGTTGCCCCCGGGGAATCTTAATGTGCCCCCTGAGCAGAACTTCCTTCTGTTGGATCTCCTTTTCCCTCCAAAAAGTGTGAATGAATGTGCTGTATTCTGAATGCATCTTCAAAAAGCAGGTGTATCACTAGTTAAATATTCTAGGTGTTCTAAGCATCAGGTGTTCTCATTCCAGCCAGCATTAATCAGTGCCAAATCAGGCCCCATTTCACCAATAGTTAACACAACACATGACATCACACCATTCTCTTGGCAATGAATGGCTGGTCCTTTTGTAGTTCTAATCCTGTTTTTTTTTTTTTCTTCACCTTGTGGAAAACTCTGGTTAGTTTTGTATCAATAGTAGAAAAGTGTTATTCCAATATTATCTTTCTTTACCAGTAGCGCATACTTAAATATGGTACCAGAAAGAAAAACATTGATGAAATATAATCGTTTATGCATGATATAGTTATTTTGTTGGAGTGAAAAGATCTACATTTTTGGAATGTATTATGAGCATCTGCTTTGGGGATATCA